CGCCAAAGTAATAAATCTTGAGGGAGATAATGGCCCCCTGCCGTGACAGAAACCCGACACCCATCCGTTTTGAGGAGAGACGGATTCAGGGTCTTTTCGGTCTAAAAACGACTCTTTTATTAGTCCTAAACGAGAGTCGGGCCTGCGCCCGTTTTTGGGGTCGTGCGGGTCGTTTTCAGACTCTAAAACAGCGTCGCTTGTTCTATGCGGGTTGTATTGTAAATTAAATGTAAATAAATTGTAAATAAATTGTAAATAAATTGTAAATAAATTGAAAACAAATTGTAAATATATTGTAAATAACATGTAAATTACATGTAAATAGATTGTAAATAAATTGTAAAAAAAGGCTACAACCTGGGTAGCAACATTGGTTGCTAAAGTAGTATCTGTACTGGGAGGATACAACTCTAGTCGAGTAAAATCAAGCCTAAAATCAAAAAGAAGAAAAAAAATAAAAAAATTATGTAAAAACCTTTAATATCAATTTTTACAACTTTTCAAAGTCAATTTAAATTAAAAAATTGAATTTACCCATCGAACTTTAAGTTGCAAGAAGTTGGTAAATAAGTTCTAAAACTAATACTGATTTTTTTATCCAATCGATTTAAATATCCCATGGAATCATTTTGGTGTTAAAACTGACATATTCAACACTCTTTAATAATTACAGGAACGTGAAACATCAGACTAACATAAAAATATTACAAAAAAGCATGTGTTTGAAAGGACTTTAAGCATAATTTCCAGTGACCCTCCAATCAAAGATGACAATGTACGATTTACAATGATACCATTTAAAGCGTTGTCTGATCCAGTATGAATTTCTCTAAACAGTTTATTTTCATGCGCATTTTTTGCTTTTAAGAATCAATGGACAAAATATTAAAATTAAACACTTTTCGAGTCAGAAAGCGAGATTATCTTTCACATTTTACAAGAATACCGTTGTAAATCGGGCATTGCCATCTTTGCATGGAGAGTCACGTTAAATTACGCTCACAGTCCCTTTGATTAAAGAAAAAGGTACCTAAGAAAGCAGACAGCAGGTTCACATTTACATATTTGAGCAGTACAGGGGGTTGTTGAAGAAGTACGGAAGTAAGTCACCTTCAGATAAAATATAGTTTTATAAAACAAATATTGAATTATTTGATTAAATTCAAACTTAATGAAGATATGGAATACAAAATTGAATTATTAGATTAAATTCCAAACTTAATGAAAATATGGAGTACAATATTGAATTATTAGATTAAATTCAAACTTAATGAAAATATGGAGTACAATATTGAATTATTAGATTAAATCCCAAACTTAATGAAAAATGGAGTACAGTATTGAATTATTAGATTAAATGAAAAATGGAGTACAGTATTGAATTATTAGATTAAGTCCCAAACTTAACGAAAAATGGATTACAATATTGAATTATTAGATTAAATCCCAAACTTAATGAAAAATGGAGTACAGTATTGAATTATTAGATTAAGTCCCAAACTTAACGAAAAATGGATTACAATATTGAATTATTAGATTAAATCCCAAACTTAATGAAAATATGGAGTACAATATTGAATTATTAGATTAAATCCTAAACTTAATGAAAATGGAGTACAATATTGAATTATTAGATTAAGTCCCAAACTTAATGAAAAATGGAGTACAATATTGAATTATTAGATTAAATCCCAAACTTAGTGAAATATGGAGTACAGTATTAATATTAGATTAAATAAGAAAGAAAATTTTCGCGAAATTTCGCATTTTTCGCTTTAGTTTTCGTTCTCTGGAAAACCTAATGCAAACTATTAAATAAAATTACGTTTTGATTGTATGACTGTCCGCACGTCACCAAGAAGACACAACAAACTCCAAACCCTTCAGCACACTTCCCACTTGCTGCACCACCCTGTAATACAAATTTATCATAGGGATACAGGGTGGACCATACCATACAGGATTGTGCATTAAACTAAATTTTGATTTTTTGTGACACAACACAGCCGAAAATTAAAAAGTAAAAATGTAAGGTTAAGGATTTTAGTCTTTGCAACAATCTCAAATTTTCTTATCCCTATATCATTGCAGCCTGATGGTGTAAACCTTTGATATTTCAAACTTAGATTATTTTATGTGACATAATTACCAAGATGTACGAGATTGAATTGCAAAGATATGGGAATTAGAAAATCAAAGTTTGTTGCAAAGACTCAATTCCTTTGCATGCATAAAACCTTGGTGTTATAGGTTTGGATAAAATCAATCTAATGGGATACTTAGTAATAGCTCCTCCTTTGCACAAAAAAAAGGTTTCAATAACTTTCTACACGGCGCAGCTTTTTTCAAAGCGGAATTTTACAAGAAAAAAAAACAGATAAAAGTATTCTTTTAAACTATCCCAAAAAAAGTACTTGACAATTTTATTTGTAAAAATGAAGTTGCTGTCCTCGTTATATCTAGTTTCGATATCTTTGTAACCTGATTGTTCAAACCTTTAATTGAAAACTTGACTATTATGTGTTAGTTCTGGCAGAGTTCAAAGTTTGAAATCTCAAAGGTCTGCAACATCAGGTTCAAACAATATAAAGATTAGAAAATTTCTAAAACTAGAGTGTTTGGGAAGTAAGGAATAAAAAAAATCATATTGAAAAGTTATGCAAAGTTCTAATCCTTTATATTTAATAACCTGGGTTCTAGTTTAATTAGTGGATACTAAAATGTTTGTTATTTTTCGCAAAATTTTAATTGATTAGTTTAAAATCAAAGTTTTTATACCTTTGTTGAACACTCGTCTGATAAATAACAAGTTCCTTCAAAAACATTTAAAACAATTATTTTTTGAAGGGGGGGGGAGGGGAGGTTTACACACTTACCAAAAAATATAGATTTTTCAAATAATAATTAATTCCTTTAAGAAAGATTCCAAAATATATGCAATATGGAGGTAGAAATCAGATTTAAAATTGAACAAATTCAGAAAATATTTAAAGTTTAAAGTTAAGAATAAAATTAACTTTTGGGTCGGGAATATGGAATTCTTTAAATAATAAATGTTTTCCTTTGCTTAAAGAATTTGTATTTGGAGTACATGCTGTATTCTTAAACCTAGAAATACATTCATCGTCGTATATATCAATACAATGAAGACAACCCTCTAATTCAATTTTGATTTCTATCAAGCTTTCAAATAGCATGCAGATACACAAGAACATGGAAACAAAGTGAAGCTGTCAAATAACAATACAATTGTATACAATTGTTAACTTGTAATTTAAAAATTAAAACTTTAAATAGAAAAGTCGTCTTCATGGTATTGATATAAACACCGACCACTGCATATGTTATCTTGACTTTCTATTTAGCAGACAAAGGAATTGAGTCTTTGGAACAAAATCAAATATTTAAACCTCAATATCTTTAGAACTCAATGTTGTAAACCTTTGAAATTTTAAACTCAGATTATTTGATCTAACTGAATTCTTAGTTTGAAATATCTAAGGTCTTCAACATTTGGTTCCAGTGATATAGTGATTAGAAAATCAGAGTTTGTGGCAAAGACTCAATTCCTTTACTTGGACTAAATTATGTGATAAAAATATCTTCTTCAGACTGCGACATTATATTTTAAGACCTAAATTTCAAATTCTTAAAAGCTCTGAAAACTTTAATTTAAACTTTTTTTGGAAATCATCTATAAAATATATCCAATCTCTGTTATATAAAAATAATGCAGTTATACAAACACTGTATACAATACAGTCTGTTAGTGATGTTGCACTGAAAACAAAATCTTTGCCCTAAATGAAATGTTATGTTTAAAAAATAAATCAGATCTTTGTTCTTATAAATTTTTGTAAAGCAAAAGTTTAAACAAAAAGATTTTTTTCGTATTCCTTACAAATTTATTCAGTGTAATTATTCAATGCGGCATGCGCGTAACTTCTACAGAGAGAGAGCCTGATCTAGCCGCGGAGCTCGGCCCCCTAGTAAGTCCTGACCGCGGAGCTCGGCCCCCTAGTAAGTCCTAACCGCAGTGCTTGGTCCAGCAAGTGTCTTTATCTAACCTAACCCTAAAATATATACTAATCTCTCTCTTTCTAATAATTCAACGCGGCAAGCCCGCGTGACTCCTTTAAGCAACTGCGAAAAAAATACCAACAGAAATTAAATGTTACCTAACCAGAGTAAAGATGCTAAACACTCTACCCTCCCTGAAAAAAATACTATCATATTTAAATGCATTTGCTGTTGTTACAACAAAAATAGTTTTATACTAGTAACTTATTTATTTACTTATCATGTTAAATGGGTCTGTTTACACTGCACAATTGCTGTGACTTATTTTTATTGGACTATTTAAAGTCATAACTGATTAAAAAGAAAAATGTTTTTATGAATTAGATTTTTTTACCTCGATGCTTGCCGTCCTGTTTCATTAAACCGTGATAAAGTTGTCCCTAGAACAAACAAAAACTTATTTTTAAATAACCTTCCATTGATAAAGTGGTATATTAATTTCATATCTGTACCATCAAAAGCTTTGTCTGATTAAGTGTGAATATTTATGTTTTCAGCTTTCAAAAACAAATTATTTTCATTTGCAAATTCTCTTCAAAAGTGACAGAAATGAACAAAACTAAATATTTTTCAAGCTATTGAAATCACGTTATCATCCACATTTTTGATCAGCTTAAAGGGACTGTAAAGGAAAACTAAAAGGGGGTATAAGATGAAACACGATACATTTAAAACATTTATCTGATGTTCGCGCACAACCAATCTGAAAACGACGATATCCCTGCATAGGAGCCTGAGAATCTCAGAAACTCCCCTTAAAGGGACTGTAAAGGAAAAATGAAAGGGGGATTAGGATGAAAGCTAATCACTTTAACTCTTGATCGCGACCCATGAAACGTCTATCTGCAATTCCTGTCTCGAGAAGTTGATATAAAACTATGTCAATTTTATACGAAAATTCATGTACATACAATTTTGCTAAAATTTTGTATAGAAATTGTAGTATTAAACAGATCATATTCAGCAAATACGAAACCAATCTGAAAACAAAAATATTCTAGAGGAAGCTAATCGTAACTTAGGTTTTCTCCAATTATTATTTAATAATTTTTATTTTTATTTCTAATAGATATAATTGATTGTTTCACAAGAAGTCCGTAATATGTCAAAATAACTCCATCCAATAAGAGTGCAGTACTAGTATACTGGTAACTAATGTATATGATGTTTTTTATCGGATTGGATTGCTTTAATTTGTTTTTTGAAAAATAAGAAATAAAACTTCTACGATTTCAAAACTGAATTATGTTTAATTTTGCTTTTATTAATCTATGCAATGTCTTTAACCTAAAAAATCAGAGTGCAAAAACAAAAAATTCAATTGATCACGTTCGTTTTTGCACATATACGTTTTGGGTATAATTTTGACACAATTTTATGTTTATTTCTTAAGACGGATCATCAGATAGATGTCTTATAGGTATCGTCCAACTCCTGAGATTGTCAGGTTTCAGCCGACCTATACCCCCTTTAATTTTTCCTGTACAGTCCCTTTAAAGTTTATTTCGTACACAATAAAGGCAAATTTGTTGGGAACCCTGTCCATAATGATTGATAAAGTTTCTATATAGAAATAGAATAACAAAGATAACTATAAATGCTTACTTGATTGGAACTGTCTTTTCTCATCTGGAAAACTTACTGAAAGAGAGACTTTACTTGGAAGAACAAGCAGGAAAATTAACAAAATCTTCATTTTTAGTTTATTTCCTAATTTTAGACACTGTCTGATGAATTAGAGGTCGAGGTTTTGGAATTGGTTTGGAATCTTGCAGGTTGATTTGGAGTCTGGTTGATATTCAAATTATTTGGATTCAGGTTGTCGTTCTGTAAGTTGATTTGGAAACTGGTTGACGTTCCGAAGTTTGATTTAGAACCTGGTTGACGTTCTGTAGTAAATTTAGAAATTTTTGGTTGATGTTTAGGTAATTTGGAATTTGGTTGTCGTTTACTGCAATTGTTGATTTCAAAACTGGTTGATTTAGAGGCTTTGGTTGATTTAAAAAGAAGTTGAGGTTTTGGTTGATCTAAAAACTGGTTGATGTATAGGTTGATTTGGAAATTATAGGTTTATGTTTTGGTTGATTAAGAAAGCAGTTGAGGAATTGGTTGATTTGGAAACTGGTTGAGGTGTTGGTTGATTTGGATTCTAGTTTACTTGTTGGTTGATTTGTAAAATGGTAGATATTAAGGTTGATTTTGAAGCTGGATAGGGTTTAGTTAGAGGGTGGCAATAGTTTTGAGGTCGAACTTCTGATTTTGGTTTGATACAATTTGTAAGATGTTTCAATGAAAACTTTAAATCTGAAAAATTTTATATCATTCTGTAACTTTCTGATAATCTGATTGACATTTATTAAACTTCATTTTATTTATTAATGGAAAGTTATAAATGTTATATCTTCACAAAATATAGTTTGCCAGTAATTTTAGAATGAAGTATTTTCTCTGGAAGAATGATTAGGACTAAAATTATATATCTGTATATTCTCCATGGTTGGTTGGATTATCAGGTTCAGCTTCAGGTTCACCTGTCTCCGGGTACACACGGAGCTAAGGAGTTCACGGTCTGTGTTCTTTATTCCGTTCACTGTGATTTAAAGTTCTCACGCTCTCAAGAAAAAATCAATGAGATTTTGACTTGAAAACTTGTATTTTTTTCGAATTTCAAAGTTTGATGAAAACCTAAAAATACGTATATTTTGGTAAATTTCGAAATGTTTCAAAATTTGTAGGTTTTTACAATACGTGTTTTTACGTATTTTTCTTTTCTTAATTTTTAAATTGTTTGAGGCAAACTTAAAAATACGTATATTTTCGTAAATTACATACCGCGTAATTTTTCTAAGTGTCAATATATTCACGAACCTCAACTGCACAAAAATGAATTTTTAAGTTAGAATTTGAAAATATTTTGAACTCTTTTCAAGAGAATTATTCTGTAAGAAATTTAATACAAACATTTTGGAAAATGCAATGTTTCAAAATTACTATCATTTTTGAGTAAATTGATGTTTTCATTAGAATCAATTTCAGTAATTCTCGATTTTTTGATAAATAGAAGTTTTACTTTGCCAGTCTTGTAACAGGTAAAATGGTAATTGTATAAAGATATAACAAATCTGGGATACGTAATTGTTGAAAATACAGACAAAATGCATATAGTGATTAGTGAAACCTTTAATAACGAATACATCAAAAGAATTCATCAAATGTCATATTATTCATGCTTTCTGATAATGGAATGTTGCAGATATTTAGTTTTTTTAATTAAATGATTATATGGAACTCTTAAAAACTGTTTCGGCATATAATGGCTATTTATTTATTTTCGCAAATCTGAAAGTTACGTAATATAGTAATAAAACTCATTGAAAAATTGTCAAGACGACATTTGATAAATTCTTCCGATGTATTCGTTATTAAGGGTTTCACTGTATATGAATGTTGATTTAGACATGGATGCAGATGAAGAAATGTTGATATGGTGTGATTTTTTTTAGACAGAATATTGGATTGGATTAAAAATAATTAATATCAATGAAGGATTTAAGAAATTTTTTTGAATTAGTTGTATAGAAATGAAGAAAGGGGCGTATTCAGGAATTTGTTCCGGCCGGGGAGCTCAGCACCCGTTGGGATCTGAAAACCCCATTCGAATTCAATTGAGTTCGCTGGTCCAGGGGGGGGGGCTTAGCCCCCATTCCTCCCTGAATACGCCTCTGAACAATGCCCATGCAAAATTATAGTCCACTTCTTTTGGTTTTAGAACTTGAAAAATACGTATTTTTACGTAAAGGGTGTCCCACGGACCATGACAGTTGGTAAATAGTTTTGAATGTCTTCTTCCATGGTTTGGTAAGTTGTTTGATACCAAAGATAATAATAAAAATATTATATAGGTTTAATATTATAGTTCAATTAAATTCAAAGTAAAATATATCTAAGCAAATGATTTTTTAAACTAAATAAACTGCAATTCAGCCTTTCATGTCTAACACAGTGTATGGAAGACGACATTCAAAACTATTTACCAAGTGTCATGTTTCGTGGGACACCAGCTGTAGGTCCTGAAGGTAAAACCTAAAAATTCCAAAAATTAAGAAATGTTAGGATTTTTTCAAATTTAAATCTATGTATAGGAAAAACTTTAAAAATCCTGATTCATTGGATTTTTTAGGTTTTTTACAGATATTAAATACGTATTTTTACGTATAGGTAAAACCTATAAATTTCTGATTCATTGGATTTTTTAGGTTTTTTTACATACGCATTTTTACGTTATTCAACTACACGTATTTATACAGATAAATTAAATGAATGTATTTTTACGAATAGGAATTAAGCCTAAATTTCCTGATTCTTGGATTTTTTTTTACATATACGCATTTTTACGTTCGTCAAATACGTATCTTTATTCCTAAACTTAAAAATACGTATACATACGTTTGTCATACGTATTTTTAAGTTTTCGGGTTAATAGGGTAGTTCAGATGATGTAGCATATGACGTAAGAACCAAGCCAAACCAAACCAAAACAAAACTCCTTAACTTCTATCAGCTGTCTTTGAACTTTATTAATTACTATTTAGTGATTCTCTCTTCATTACAGTCAGGGAGGCAATAGGGATGAAATAAATATAGGTCCCTGAGTTCAGTCTCTCCATAGAAAGTGGTCGTGTAGTTCACGTACTTTGGGAGACGATATGTTGGCCGCTAGATCATGATGTCTCATATGCTAAATTCTTATCTGATAGATAGATATTTCTCCGCACACTTGACGAACAATATAGGAGACGTCAAGTTGTCGACCAATGTAGTTTATGGAAGGAACGGTCTCTGGCCTCCCACCTATCAATATTGTACATGCACCTAAAACTGTGATATAGCTGGACATGTGGGCGCAGCGCCCGGCCCCTTAGCCTGTCCTACGAGTCCTAGTCGCTTTGCTTGGCATCCTATCATAGCCGAAGCGGTTCAGCCCTAGTATAAGATTTTTGGACCCCATGTCAGGCAGTCATAATGGATCGATAGGACATGAAATGTACACTTAACACAATTCAATTGTTTAGCTTTGACATTTTCACTTATTTGTGCACCTGTGTTTTTTATAATTTTAATTTCAGATTTTCAATGCTGCGATAAAGTTTAACTATCACACTCAAAGGATTTAAAAAGGTTAAAAATGGCTGATTTAAACACTAAATACCAGAAACTAGCAACAGAGTATGCTAAGCTCAGGTATTTGCTTGTTTAATACTTGTTACAGGACAATTACCATGAAAATGATATATATAACATGATAAATTCAAGAAAAAACAAGAATTGTAGTTATGTAGGGCTATACTCCATATAGCTTTTATAGAGATATTGAGCTAACATTTTTGATTACTGCTCACAGTGCACACTTCAATGGGTAAAGTTACTGTTCTCATCTATTTTCAAAAAGTAGTCGTCTGTGGACACCTTAATCTCAAAGGCATTTCCCCAAGCGGCAATTTCCCAAGGGCATTTTCCCATGCGGCAATTTCCCAAGGACATATCTAAGGGAAAACTTCCCAAATGTGTAATTTCCCAAGTCTGTCCTAGCCGCAGTGCTTAGCCCCCCTAGCCTGTTCTAGCCACAGAGCTTGTCCCCTTAGCCATTCCTAGCCAAATGTGCTTGGCCCCCCCCCATCCTAGTCGCAGCGATCGGCACACATTGCAGCCTGTGCCGCCTCAGAAGGCCTAACCTAACCTTTGGGAATTGTGGCTTGGGAAATTATGATTTGGGAAAATGCCTTTAGGAAAATACCTAACATCTAGTAATGTAGGTCCCAGGTTGGAGTTCTGAAGAAGGGGGTTCTAGAGGAGCAGGAGAAAAACCAGCAGCTCACAGATCTGGTAAGAATACATTAAGTATCAAGCAGAGTAGGCTAAGCTTTCTGAAACTAATTTTCCTAGACTAATAAGATAATTTAGAGTGACCCTCCAGTTGAAAAGGGGAATGTACATTGTACAACTAAACTGATATCATTTAAACCTTTGTCATGGTATGGGACCATCTTTTAACATTCATACTTGGAACTCTCACCCAGTTTCCTCCATCATTCTTATAGCACTCCTTGGTTGGGCCATAATCCAAGTGACGGCCTCCACAGTAGTAAAGCTGATTACGAAAAACAGTAGCTCTCAATTCTATTTTTTCTTTTAAATCCCTTACAGCTGCGTTACAAGGAATACTCGCGGTACAATCCCTCCTCGTCCAGAATAACCTCCTCCAAGTAAAACTACGGTTTTGTAGGTGGACAGTGGACACAGGCTTAGTAGAAAGTCCTCCAAATAATCTTGCAGACTCTGATCTTCCTTCGGGAGATACAAGAGTTACACAGTTAGGGTGGTAGTCCCTGCAGTGAGTGAGTTACGCATTCCAATCTAGAAATATATGAAATTATTCAAGAATTACATCTGTTATGTAATTTTGTGCAGTGCACTTGCAATTTAATTGGAACTCTAACTCAGTTCCCACACACTAAATAACCTAATTTTTTAACACAATAAAGCATAATCTACTGCTTAAAGATTTTTCCATCATGCTCTTTCAAATGCAGGGGTGCATTTAATTCCAGCTTTTTTTAATACAAGGATAGGGAGGGGGAATAGAGAATATATCTATCTGTTAAGAATAAATAGACAATGCATAATGGCATGTAAGAAAGTCCTAAGGCCTAATCATTTTATTATCTCAATTTTCACAAAGAAAATCTTTTATTACAGATAACTGAAAGGAATGTTTACGAAACATTTAAGGAGTTATATGTTGAATCAAAACCACACACTGAGCAGAATGGTACTTCTCTGCAAGTTCTGTTAAAAGAAACTAATACGAACATTTTTCTTAAACAGTAATACTAACGTGTAACTTAAAATTATTTATTATTCAATATATTCGGAACTAAATATCTGCATTGACTTTAAAAATCTTTTTTAAAGAGATTTTTTTTGTCCCCAGGACATGAACGGGTTGTTACGATCAAATCTCGGAATTTTTCTATTGCGAAAGTTTGGTGTTGTCTGGGGTGTTTTATATTGATCTACCAGGGGTTTTAATCTGGCAGCACATTTATCCATCCACACTTCATTCTTACCGAGAAGAGGGCTGACAAGAATCCAGCTGTCCAAGGCAGCTGGATTCTTGTCTGTTTTTAGAGAGACCCCACCCCCACCCTTGAAGATGAATCTGAATGGTAACTACCCTTACTACCCCAACTACCGTCTGTTTTTAGAGAGATACCCTTGAAGCTGAATCTGAATGGCAACTACCCTTACTACCCCAACTACCTTCAGTTTTTAAAGAGACCCCACCCCCACTCTGTAATTATTCTTTGCGCATGGTATACAATATGGGTATCGATTCTCATTAAATCAATTGTTTTAAGCTTGTTTCTGGCATTCATAACACTCTCCGACCTTTACTATCCTCACCACCCACCTTCTCAAGGGTGCACAATCCGTAGTCAAAAAAAGGGATTTTATACGTTCACCCCTCTACCCACCCCTGGTCTGAATTAAAAAAAATTGGAAAGAAAGAAAATCGAAAATCGATATAATTTTTTTTAATCCTTAAAGAAAATCTGACATTTATATATATATAATAGATATATATAATTGATTTATTGTATGCACTATAAATATATGCGAAACCAAACCATTAATGCGCGGGTTGAACTCATATATTTATGGTATTGATTATAAATATTTTGGTATATATTTGTAGATTTCAAGTTATTTTTTGACAAGTGATTTTTAAAAGTCGATTTTTAAAAAATTTTCACGAAAGCAAAACAGGTTGCCACAAAAAGATCATTTAAATATTTATTAATTCATTGTTACATTAAATTTGATAAAGAAATTATTTATTTCCAGCACTGTTAATCTTTCTCTGCTTAAGGAGGTTACAACTTTCAAACTTTGAATCTGATATTTGGACATTTAGACTTTTTTACATTACCTGGAGGACGAATTTAATATTTTCAAAGATGGAATTGTATTCTACACGATCTTCTCATATATCAATTAAATTTAATACAACTGGTCAGAAACCATAATTAAAAATTTTTGACAAAATTATGTTTGGGAGAATATGGAGAGAAATGCCGAAAAATGCCTCATATTTGGCACTTTTTTAACTGTTTAAGGAAGACCTGTAATTTTTTGTCTGCGTGTGCCGTGTAGCCATCGTTGCTTCAGGAATTATCAAAAGTCAAAGTAAGAAATTGGGAGATTTTCTTAATCAACATCGCAGTTAAACACATGAAAAAAATCAACTTTTCAAGATCACCCAGTATATAAGGTTTGTTTGTTTTTATCCAATAAGAGTCAAAATGGCTGAACCATTTCTTTGTGATAACTCACAGGACCTCAGGGAAGATTTACGGGCGGTCAGATTTAAAAATTTGTTCTAAAAATAATATTGATTTAAAAAATTGGAAATTCCGCAAATTATTTCAGGAAAATCAGCAACATTTTGTATCGCTATTATTGCAAATGAATGAAAGGCTTGCAGAAAGGTGTGAATTGTGGATTGGCAAGAATTGATTTTAAATATTTTAGATTCATGAACGGGACACACAGTTGCGTAAACATGAGAGTGAAATGGAGGGAGTCCTTTTCAGGTTGGTTTAGCTTCACAGAAACACAGGGTTAACCACATGATAGGGTTAGGGGGGGGGAGCCATGGAGAAACACAGGGTTAACCACATGATAAGGTTAGGGGGGGAGCCATGGAGAAACACAGGGTTAACCACATGATAGGGTTAGGGGGGGGGAGCCATGGAGAAAGGTGCGAGAAAGATTAAGTCTTGTCATTGTACAATAATAAAAGAATTGAGTCATTGCAAAAAGCTCGGATTTTATAATTCCTATCTTTCTAACCCAATATTGCAAACCTTAGATATTTAATTCTGTAAAATCAAAAAGTCTAAGTTTGCAATATCAAAATATTTACACCATCAGATAAGAAATTTTGAATTTGTGGCAAAGACTCAAGTTCTGAACTTCTTAAATTTTTTATTTTGTTTAAATTTTTAGAAACCAGCAATTAACAAAACGAGTAAATGTTCTTCAGGACGAGATAGATGGTTTTCAGGTATAGATAGGGGATGGGAGATAGGATATAGTAGGAGATGGGAAATGGGTAGATCGGAGATAGAAAATGGGAAATGGTTGATGGGAGATGAGAGATAGGAGATGGGAGAGGGGAGATGGGAGAGGGGAGATGGGGTATGGGATAGGAGATTTTGGAAGAAAGGACTTTTCTTTTAAAATATACGTTTTTTTGTAACTTTTTGATCATTTCAGGTGAAATCGAAAAGCAAGAAAAGGAATGGATCACAGAACAGAGACGAAGCTGAAAGGAAAATATTTAATTTCTGAAAAATAAGTCTGAATAAATTCTGCGTTATGAAAGCATAACTTTAGTTTAAATTAACTGGTAGATTTGTGCCTATTGCCCATATATTCAATCTCCAATACACTATAAAATTTAATTTTTATTTTATAATATTTTTGAAGAGTGATTAATGAAGAACTTGTGTCCAAAATCACCGAAAATGCAAGGTAAGCAATCAAGCTTGAACACCCCCGCTTTGCCTAGATATATAAAAGTCGAAAGTTCTCCAATCAAAGTTTGAGTTATGACTGGACACACAAACAGATTTTTACTTTTATACAGAAGATCCAAAATTTAAGAAATGTTTAGACTCCACGCTACCCTGGATGATATTGAGAAGCAGTATGAAAACACTATACTCAGTCTTCAAAATCGGGTTCAGGTATACTCAAATTATTAAACTCATTTAATAAAGCGAAATTTATACTACATTTAAATCCTGAACCCGCATTCTGCATTCATAAATTTAACACCACTTTTCATCTGTTTAATGTGTTTGTATTGACAGGGATACAGTCTCAATAAAAGATGAAGGATTTTGTTTGAACTTGCTTACATTCCAAATTATTGATTGATTAATTGATTGATTGCATATTTGATTAGTTTATTGAATTTTATTGCATGGTTGATTAATGTGATTAGTTAAATAAATGATTGTTTGATCGATTGATTGATTGATTAGGATCTTGAAAAGGAGAAATCTCTGTTAGGAAACGCGCAGAAGAATAAAGAAGAAGAATTATCCGACACGGTCTCAATTATTGAGAGGTATATTTTACAGGGTTATCCACAAAGATTGAGACTTCACGAGACGATTGTACGGAATTTGATTTTATTCCGTCTGTTACCTTATATTCATTATTCCCCGCAACTGCTAACTTGCTTGTTTCTTTGCCCAATCATCATATAAGCCATTAGATTACTATATATAAGGCGGAATACATTATTTCACCATGGGATCGCCACGTTTTAAGAGTTTACGGTCGTCTGTACGGTCTTATCCTTTGTACGGTCTTATCCTTTGTACGGTCTTATCCTTTGTACGGTCTTATCCTTTGTGGGTAACCCTGTATGTCAATTATATTAATTTTAGAAAATAATCTTAAAAATTGTTTGGATCTCGTCAAATTATAATTATATTTTGGTAGTTGATCCTCGACCATGGTCTACATAAGACTTCTCTCCCGAGCTTTTCTTGTTGTCTACGACTAGGCTCGGGAAAGCTGTATCTTGAAATGTCGGAATGCTTAGTCAGACCATACATAAACAAAAGGGTAATAATCAAATTGAGGAAAGGGTCATGAAGCCTCCTGGCAAGTATATTATACACCAATCCGGTTTTTTTCCTTACTAACTGAGCAACTGGAGCCCTCTTGGAAAATCTCTGACCGCGCATTGATAAAGAGACAACTCTCCAGCTGTATTTACGGAGCAGATCTGATTGGTAATAATGGGATTATTTATCCTAATGCCGCATACACATCGGAAAGATGAATAAAACCGGAGGAAAAACGGGGTTTTTCTTTAAGAAGATCTCTCTATACCCCTCTAAAACTTCCTGAACCTCCAACCTTATCCCACTGCACGAGCAGATATAGTGGAACTTAGAAACCGCTTTGCTGTGGAATCTTAATCAAAACTTTCTGAGAGGGATCAGCATTTTGACATAGGAGTTCTTGTCCTAGGGGGGTGCTCCTAGATCACCTTGAACCTAACTAAATGCAGCTATGGGCTTTGGAGATTTCTTGATTTATTTTTTCAAAATTACTGCAGGATACATGAATGATGCAGAAGATTAAGAATTTTAGAAAAAATCAAAATTCTACAAATTTACATCCGGAGTATAAACCTGTAAAAAAATTGACAAAGTCAGCTTCATGCTGATTTTGAATAACCTTGTGGAGGAGCGTGCTACTCAAATTCAGGCTGTACACAGCAAATAAAAAGAAATACAAATTGCTTTGTCAACTATGTTCAGGAGTGCATATTACCCTTTCGGAGGGAGGGGGGGAGGGATGCTGATAATACAACAGTAAAATAAAGTGAAGAAGGGTAGACAAAAAAGAAGACTATTGGAAGAAATGATTATCTGCAGTTTAAACATGTAACATTCTATCTTTAAGAAAAACTTTGTCTGCAATAAGGTTACACCTGGTTAATGAGCTCTAAAATATCTAAACCCTTAACAAAACATTTCAGTGTATTTTATATTTCATAAAAAGTGTTAGAACCTTTAACATTTCAGCCTCGATAGACGCATAGTGGAGAAAACTAGATTCATACACCTAAAATGTGCTTCAATTTTTTATTATTGGAGGTTTAAACCCAAAAAATAATTGTTTTTTTTTGTTAATTTCTTTTGATTTGTTAAATCTACATTGATACATTTATCGTATGAAGATAATAATTAGGCAGAAAACCTCTAAATGTTTCGGGTTTCCTAATAATCTCATGAAAACTTTTTTGAGTCAAACTTTTTTTCAGTCTAAACCACACAGCAAAGTTTAAATGGACTTTTCTCGTAAAGGTTTCGACAGGAATTTCTAAAAATCCACATGATAGTTAAAGAAATAGTTTACTTTCAGAATCCGAAAAAAACTTCAGGTGTCTTGGTTTTTAAACCATCTTTATAGCTGAGGTGAACGGTGATCCCCGGGCTTCTCATGGGTCCCCTCAAAATAAAATCGACCAATTTGGCCTAGCCGTTAGGCCAACTATAGCTAAAACATCTGTTGATCAGCTTTTACTATTGCAGGGAGAAGGATGAGCTAAGATCCAGGGTGACCAACCTTGAAAGGGATTTAGCATTAAGGTAAGAATGAATTTATGCTCGACAAAAATATTAAAAAGTTAAAGATTAACATCTTGTTTTTAATTAATGATAATTTTTACCCAAAAGTTCATCTATTTTCATCTTTAAAGAACCTTACAACATTTGTCGCTCCGCGCAAACATATCGCATAGCGAACATATGAGCGGAAATAATGATTTTCAAGAAGGGGAAGGGGAAGGGAATGAGCTTTCAAGACAATAAACACCCCAAGGGAAAAACATACATAATTGTCAAGGTCAAGGCCTTCGTCCACCTCTCCCTATCTATATATAAATTTAGCTTGTCTTTCTGTCTGTTTGTTTTTATGCAATAAACGTCAAAACGGCTGAACCGATCGGGCCCAAATTTTGTGTGGGACTTCACGTGACCCCAGGGAAGGTTTATAAATGATCAAAGCTTTAAAAATGTGTTTAAAAGTGTTTTACTTTTGTAAAATTTTGAAAATGCGCGAAAAAATATTACGAAATCCGCAAACTTTTTTTGGTTTTTATTTTATACTATACATTGAGAAGATGCTCAGAGTTAAAGCTACAAGTAAAAGATAAAATAGAATACGGGCGTGAAGGGCCCCAAAAGCCTAGTTTCTTAAATTATGATATGGGGGGTATATTTATATATACCATATAGAATGGGAATAAATGAAATACTTTAATTTCAAAACAAATGTTGTATCTTCATATTTTGATTTTTCATAAAGGAGTTTGGAAAGTGTGTCGCGGACTGATTTCTGTTCCCAGTTTTCCTTCATTGATCCTGAACTGGAGAAAGAGAAAGAGCAGAAGAATAGAGAATTAGATTCTTTAAACACAAGGTTGATAATTCTTTTATTTATTTTAATTTTACTTTAAATTGAAGTTATCTTAAACTTATTTTATCTTTGTGGCCCGTGGTGGGACGACTAACCGATTTATAATTGGACAGCCAGTACTTTGCTTGTCTGTCTGTTTGTTTGTATCTAATAAACGTCAAAAGGGCTGAACCGATCGGGCCAAAATTTTGTGTGAGACCTCGCATGACCCAGGGGAAGGTTTATGTATGCTCAATTTACAAAAATTTGTATTCAAAAGCTTTCGATTTTCGCAAAATTAAAAAAATCTGCGAAAGAATTGTAAATCTGAAAGAAAAAACTTAATTTTGTTTAATCGAAGAGAAAACACAGATAGATTGAGCAACTTTTAATAGTTGGAATAGAAGATTAACGTCTGAACGACTGAATCAATCCGGCTCAAATTTTGTGTGGGACCTTGCATGACCCCTGGGAAGGTTTATTGATGCTAGAATTACAAAAAGTTGTAAGTTTGAGTTTGATTTTTGTGAAATTTTAAAAATGCGAAAAAAATATTTGAAAATCCGCAAACCTTTTTTTGTTTTTGTCTTATATTGTACATTTAGAAATGTCCAGCTTTTTTATATTTTATTTTTTGGATTAAAATACAGCTAGATCATATTTTGCCTTGGGTTGGGTCTTAAAGCATTAGGTTTTCAACAATTTGTTATTATAACGCAAAATTCCACTTCGTGGCCAAGCACGCTTAAATTTTGTAATCATTTATCACAACAATAAAAACAATTTTGGGCGCATTTGCCGCGAAGAAGACTTGTGTGATAAGATATCCAAATGTTGTTTCATTCCCCCCCCCATACTCGCCCGACAGTGTTAAAGAATATTGTTGTTACAGAGTTTCTGAGTTAGTGTCCCGACTACAGGAGGTAGAGAAGGATCGAGAACACTGGAAACTAGAACACCAACTCTCACAGATTAAACTGGATAAACAGCACCAAGGGGACCAGGTTAGCTTACTTGGTTTTGCAGCCTTTGTCGTTGATTACCATTATCCACATGGTGCTCGTGGTGTGTAGCACCTGCGCCCTAAAGGCAGTCTGTGGGGTTCCATGTTTGTTTCCCTTTCAGATTTAAACTTGATTTGAATTTGATGAGCCCCCTGTAAGGATTTCACCAATAACTATAAGCAATGACTAAAACTAAGAATTGTTTTAGTAGTGATAAAGGTAAATGCGCAACTAACTCTAAAAGTTTTAGTTTTGGGGAAAGCAATAAATATGTAATTAATCGCAAAATCTGTGTTCCTTTCAAATGATCAAACTCGTAATATTTGTTCAAGACTTAATATATTTAGGACTCTTTTTCAATGGTTTAACAATGAAAACGTGGGCATGTGTTTTACTGTGCTTTACATAGTCTAATATTGTGGAATAACGATTAACACTTTATGAGAATTAAAGAATATTGCAACCGGAGCAAATATCGTCTTCCATCACCAAAGAAATAATCCGCGAACATGGCTCGTATTTACTCCTTTTTTCGCTACAGTTTCATTAAAAAAACAACTATTTATTTAGCTTTCAAGGATATAAAAAGTATTTTGAGTGAATATATTTTAGAATTCTAACTGGACTGTTAATCCTAATTTGATCCAGACAAAAATATTTCCCTTTTTTAACATGTTAATATTTTATACTTTGAAGTCTGTAAATGACTTCCAAAGAATATTTAGTTTTTCCGTCTTTGTTAAATGTCAAAGAAATTTTTTTTTAAATTAAAAGTTATTTCTAGACTTTATTAAACTAATGAGAACGTATTTAAGAGGAATATAATTAACCTATGTTTAGGATTCCCATGATGGTATATTCGTGAATGATAATGAGATTAAATCTGTTTTTAAGTCAAGGTAAACTTTTGTTTCTTCTAGTGGCAATGGGGTAAATATCAACCGAAACATCAAACATAAATCTTTTGGTCTTAAAACCAAAATCTGATCTGTTGAAAAATGACCTCAACTCTGAATGTTTCATTAAGTTTAAGCAGACAAAATTAAGAAAAATTATTTGAACAATATTCCTGACCTGGATCCGGATCCAGAATCTGCTTAAAAATTAAATTGATCCTAAGCACTGTTTCTTAATCAATTTTTAAATTCCAATTTTAATTTGATTTAATTTTAAGACTAAAAAAATTTTCTTGAATAATTAAATTTAAAAATAAATAATTGGACTTAAAAAACCGCGGAACAGGAAGGCGACATTTAATGTCTAATGGAATTGTTATAAAATAAATAGTTTTAATATTTGTTGGAATAATATTTATGGTTTTGTTTACACCGCACAACTGTTGTGTTAAAAGCAAAATTATCTTGAGTCCTACTGTTGTTTTTTCACCGTAAAAAACATTAATTTTTATTTGATTTTATTATCAATAATATATAATACTAGCCTATTCCGGATCTGCAAGCTTTTGGCTTCCTTGATCCGGTTCCGGATCCGCAAAAATATGCGGATCCACGGATCCGGATCCAAGGGGTAATATCAACCAAAAACTGAAAAAAAAACTTTTTTACTCCTAAAACCAAAATCTGAACTTTTGAAAAAAAGAGAGATTATAAAAATTTCCTCATTTCTGAATGGTTCATCAAATTTTAGAATAAAACTATGCGGGGAAAAAATAAAAAAAAATTCAGTAAATGTTAGAGAAATGACCTGGATCCGGATCCATTTTTTCCAGTGCGGATCCAGGATCAGGATCCGGATCCGCATCAAAATTAAATGGATCATAAACACTGGTTACGCCACTGGTGAACCCTTTAAAACATCAGCTAATACACATGTCAATACATTTGATAATACACATGATAATACACATGATAATACACATGATAATACACATGATAGTACACATGATAGTACACATTATAATATAATACACATGATAATACACATGATAATAAACATGATAATACACATGATAATACACATGTGTTGTCGCAAAGGAACAAGATTCTGACGATTTTAAAGGTATTCTTACCGGGATGTATGGGTTGGATAGTGTTTCTCCCCCGCCCCCCCTCTCTCTTCAAAATTAGGTTTACAGGAAATAAAATATAAATACTACTGTCATGTGCACTAATTAACATTTTTCACACGAATCTTAAAAAAACAGAACAATTAACTAAAATATTTATTGAACGGAAATGAAATCATGCCAATTAAGAAAAGTAATTTTTAAAAATATCATCGTTATATTTCTGAGGTTCCCCTGCGTGGTTTTCGTAGAGTGTGGACTATATATGGGGTTAATTGACAATACAGTATGAACAAGTATTACTGCAGTAAAGCTGGATCGAAAATCAATAAATACATGAACAAATGTTCGAAGTGGCCATTCGCTATTCACCCATCCTTCTTTTTTTCCTTTTTTTAAAAAAAAATTACTTTGTGAATTGTGTAATGTATTCGTTATTTGTTAATTTTAAAAAATAAAATGTATCTATAAAACTTTGGAGTGCCAGCCAATCAAAACTACCAGAAATGGTTTGGCTGTTGCCCTGGCTAATAATTGTTTAGTAAAAAAATATAAAATGTAAAATGTATTTATTATAATGTTAGCCGAAAAATATATCTATCTATCTATCAACTTTGACACATAATACAGCTTTCTTCCCGGGTATGGCGCACGATCTTGATGAACTGATCGTTGCTGATGTGCTTGTATGGATTGATGGAGTTTTCATTGTGAAATAATAAATTTTTTTTACATTAATCAAAATGTTCAACTAGGAAAACTGAACTGACGGATTTTAAATACTTTTTAGTAGATTTCTGAATTCTAATGTTGTACTTGATTATACTGCAGCAATCTTGTCATAGGTGGATTCTCTGGAGAAAACAATTAATGCAATAAATGATGATTTAACAAATAAAAGGTAAATTTAAACAAAATTGTCCTTGTAAATCACAAATGAATTAAATCTAACAATTAATGCATGATAAATATATAAATTAGTTAATTTCAAGTGACTCATCACCCGATTCACAATGGTACTCTTGAAACCTTTATCTGATCAATACTGTGGAAGATTTTGTCGTTTTTCTCGTGTTAAATTCCATGATAATTTTGATGTAAAATTTCTGCAGTTGAAATGCGAAAGTCACTTTTGTAGAGAAACCAAAGTTTAAAAAAAATCATTTTTCAAATTATAAACATTGATTTCTAATTCATACTTGATCAGACAAAGCTTTAAAGGGAATCGGACTTAACCATCTTTGCAACGGAGGGTCCCTTGAAATTACGTTTACAGTCCCTTAAAATGAATAAGGGAATTTGCGTCTTGATTGTTATTTTCTAATTGTGTTATCTTTCAAATTAAAGGAGAGAAAAGTATACGATGTGTTCGTCTGTTATAAACCGGGATGGTTACATAACTCAAATAATGAAAACATTTGATAAAATTTGGTGTCATTAAAATCGCTTACATTACAATTTCGAATATTATCTAGTCAGCTGTTAATTGATTGATATTAAAGTTGAGCCGCGACAAACTCTTTTAAGGGGTCGCTTCTGTCAAAATTGTAATATTTTCAGAAATTTCNGTGGGAGGGATTTCCTAGGTTTAACATTTTCTTTCTAAAGAGGTCTACTGTGGAAGGGAGAGGAGGATATTAAAACAATGCAACTTAATTACGAGGAACAGCTTAGGTGAGACATACTCTTAGTTTGTTGTTTAAAGGAGAGTATTAAGAAAAATAGGTCCTCTACTTTGAAGTTTTTACTCAGTAACAAATCTCAAAAAACTCATTTTCCTAATCTAAATCTCCATGAACACTTTGAGAAGAAGTTGATTTTGATTGGGGGTAGGGGGCGTCTGGACTGTTAAAAACAATTACAATTTAAAATAAAATAATTTCTTATTCAGAAATAATCTCTGTTCTGTTTAGTGTTATGAGTGACCACTTGGCAGAAATGAATAATAAGCTTGCTTCACAAGAAGATACTATTATTCATCTTAGGTACATTTTTATTATTATTAAAGTTAATATTGGTATAAATTGCTTTAACCATCTGTATACATAATACTTATACAATATACATCAATACAAGTATAAAGTAGTAGTCTTTTTTTGTATGTCGGATCCTAACTTATAAACACCTTGGCCAATTTGCCTCGAATTTTAATCAGGGAACTCGCGGAAATGTTCATGAACGATTTCCCTAAAATTTTATTCTGGAAACTTAGTAGAACCACGAGAATGATTCAAGTTTGGTTCTAAATTAAATGGATTGATTGTTAAGAAAAAGTTAAGTTTTCAGGCAATGCTGGTTTCTTACATTAATTAGTTTAAAAATTAAGAAGAAATTTTTCTTTCGTGTTTGAAGTTAAAAAAATTTAATTAAAATACATCTTATATTTGTAGGCAAGAATGTGATCTATCTGAAAAGAAGAAGAAGAAGTAGTTAGATTAGTCTCCCAACTTTCACAGTCTTTGAAATTTTACTAATACCCAGCAAGTATGATATCATTCACCGTGTGAGATAACTTGCTTACTAATACCCAGCAAGTATGATATCATTCACCGTGTGTGATAACTTGCTTACTAATACCCAGCAAGTATGATATCATTCACCGTGTGAGATAACTTGCTTACTAATACCCAGCAAGTATGATATCATTCACTGTGTTAGATAACTTGCTTACTGTTACCCAGCAAGCATGATATCATTCATTGTGTTTGATGACCTGCTTAATTTTACCCAGCAAGCACAATAACATTTACAGCATTTAAGAACCTGCTTACTTTTACCCAGCAAGCATGATACCATTCATTGTGTTTGATGACCTGCTTACTTTTACCCAGCAAGCAAAATATCATTCACAGTGTTTGATCACTTGCTTTCTTTTACCCAGCAAGCATAATACCATTCATCGTCTTTGATTACCTGGTTAATTTTTACCCAGCAAGCAAAATACCATTCACAGTGTTTGAATACTTGCAAACTTTTACCCAGCAAGCAAAATATCATTTAGTGTTTGATCACTCGCTTACTTTTACCCAGCAAGCATAATACCATTCACCGTGTATTACAACCTGCTTCAGTGCATAAAATTAACCAGCAAGCATATTATCATTCAGTTTTTTATAATCTGCTTACTATTACATAGTGTACAGTATGTACACTGTACAGTGTACAACTTACAAGTTCATTTTAATTTAAAAGAATGTAAATTAATTGATTCTCTATTTTCTGAATTTCAAACAAATTATTTATATTTAGGAAGAAATGATCTTACAGTCTTCCTAGTGTTAAATGTATTTTTAGCGAACATTATATTTGTGAATAATTTGTTGTGATAGAAATGTGATATTTTGTTTTATTATTTAAATGATAGATCTGGGCTTTATTCTTTTTTGTTTTTAACAAGTTTAAGAACAAATTTAAATTATTTTTTTCAATTATTTAACTTATTGTTGGTTTACTATTCAATTTATGTGTTCATTTAACTTATTTTTGATACTTAAATTGAATTAAAAGTTATTTCTGTTAAACTATAAAACTTTCTATTTTAGTTCTTAAATGTTGTGGGTAATTAACCAACATAAATTGAAATATGTTGAGAAGTCTTCATGATTAAATGAATGTGAATGCAAAGAAAATTTGAACTCTTTCTTTGAGCTAGTTTTACCCTATAAAAAAGAAACCTGTACAAAATTTCCTTCTTTTTTAATGATTTTTTGTGTTGAAAAACAAGAGTAGAAATTGATTTGACCTATTAAATACTACTACCTACTTCTCTGTACACAAGTCGAGCATTTTCCCAATAAAAATGTTTGGTTAGGAAAAAACAAAAACTTACAAAATTTAAGGCAGGGTTTTATTTTAAGACTAAAACTTTATCCACAGAAAAGCGAATTAAATCGTTATCATATATTTATTTATCAAGAATCTTGAATTTTAAAATACTTTTCTGCAAACACTTCCTTCAAATGAAAAAAGACAAATTCATGTTCAATGTACTTGCTTTAATATTGTTATGATTTAAGTCCATTGTTAATCTTTGTACATAGACATAATACAGTTTACTGTCATGTACACTATACTGTACTGTACTGCATTTTAACGTACTGTACTGTTACAAATAGTACTGCCATGTACTGTAATGTCATGTCGCGCAATGTATTGTATTGTATTATAACATGTTGTACTATCATGTACTATACTATCACATGCTGTGCTGTCTTGTACAGTACTGTCACCTATTTATGTTTAATTCTATTTCAGAAGATGATGTTGACAGGTGAAAACTGGTTTTACAGTTAAACAAACTTTTCATGGATAAGGTGAGCAACAAATTGAATTTCAGTCATTTAACATATATTTAAATCATAGTGTTAAAATGTTTGTATGTTAGAGATGTGTATTGTTTTTGGGTTTGTATTAACACAGGCAAGGTTTTGTAGGATCTACAAGAACTTTTGATGTCCATCATATTTGTGTATTTGTATGTGTATTGTTTTTGGGTTTGTATTAACACATTCTAGGTTTTTATTAGGATCTACAAGAAGTTTAGATGTCCATCATATTTCAAAACTATATTTCCTAAAGTTTGCTATTACATTTTGCCAAATTTCTTGTTAAGGATATCTAATTCCAAACCAAAATTGAAATTATTTAAATAAAACTGTCTACAAACACGTCGCATTCGTCTAATCTTTTGATCAAATAAAAAATGGTGTACAGTATAATCACAATGTATTACATTTACCTGTTTAGTTGGCGTACCCCCAGATTAACCATTTTGGCACATGTCAATGTCCGCCGAGATTTGGGGCGATNAGTCAGGTTTAGACATGGACAATAGTAGTCAGGTTTAGACATGGACAATAGTAGTCAGGTTTAGACATGGACAATAGTAGTCAGGTTTAGACATGGACAATAGTAGTCAGGTTTAGACATGGACAATAGTAGTCAGGTTTAGACATGGACAATAGTAGTCAGGTTTAGACATGGACAATAGTAGTCAGGTTTAGACATGGACAATAGTAGTCAGGTTTAGACATGGACAATAGTAGTCAGGTTTAGACATGGACAATAGTAATCAGGTATAGACATGGACAATAGTAGTCAGGTTTAGACATATAGACAAGAGTAGTCAGGTTTAGACATGGACAATATTAGATTTTAAATATTATTAGAAAATATATAATTCTTATTCCTAAAAGCTGTTAGTTTACTGTCGAAGAATGCAAACAATCCACCACCAATTTGTATAAAATGTAAAAATATAATTGTATCTTTCTTCTCCTTTTTTTCGAATTGTTGTTTTGTCAATAAACTCTTTGAAATATTGTTTACAGTATAGTTAAACCTTGTTTTTTTCTTAATTTATCTTATTTTTTGCTATCTAATAGGGTTTAAAAATTTATTGTTGTTATTTTTACTTCTTTTCAAAATAAAAAATATTTACTGCCCAAATTAACAAATACTTAATCTAGCAAAATGTTTGTATAAATAGGACTGATGTTAATTTAAAGTGACCAGTTATTTAAAATAAATAAATGCATGTCTTCTTCACAAGGGCACCTGCACCTATATCTGATCAATAACGTGGAATATGTCGTCTTATAATTTTGCAATAGAAATGCGCAAGTCACTTTTTGAAATAATAAATTTTAATACAGAAAAAAAGAATTTTTCATTTGTTTTTGATCAGACAATCTTTAAAATGTACCATGCTACTCTTTCAATGTGGATTTACTTGAAATCACGACAACAGTCCCTGTAAGTAAACCCTTACTGCAGGTGATCACAAAGATCGCCGGGATCTACGCTGAGCGTCTCATGTCTGATGTTCTTCTTGTAGTTGGAGATCAGGTAAACATATTTACAAAAGAACAGGAAAAATAAACGAATTTTTGGTCAAACAGTTTTAATATAGGAGGACAAGCTTGATAAGAAACAATTTTAAGCTAAAAAAATTTGGATATCTCATTTATCCTTAATTAGAGAAAGGTTTAAAGGGTACTACTGTGAATTGAACAGTCCACGTTTAGATGAAGCGGTAATATATAAAGAAAAATATCCCCCCCTGGTTGTTTAATGATTATCGCCCGCCTTTGAACAAATTTAATAACTTGCTTTTATGTTCCGAGAATTACCATGTTAGTGTGAATATGCTGATTGATTGGGTATCAGTTTTAATAGCTGGTTTTAGTAAGCTAATTTCAATTGACTCTCTATGCAAAGATGAAAATGTCAGATTTACAATGTTACCCTAGAGTTTCTCCATTGCTTCTTTTAAGCGATGAATATATGCTGCTACGCAAGTCTCTTTCAATGAAAATAAATAGTTTAAAGAAAAAAAACATTAATACCTTAATCAGACAAAGCCTTCAAGGGTAACGTTGTAAATCAGACATTGCCATCTTTGAATTGAGGGTCACTTGAAATTACGCTTACAGGCCCTTTAAATGTTCATGCTTAATAATAAAATTGGCAACTTATTCAAAAGAAAATATTTTTTTTGAAAAAACACAACATTTCATTTTTTCAGGAGCTTCCAGCCCACCGGCTTATACTATGCGCTAGCTCAGAAGTTTTCCAGGTAAACCTGGTTGATGTTAGATACTTTTCAATTTCCCAAGCGGCAACTTCCCAAGGGTATTTTCCCAAGTGGCAACTTTACAAATATGCAATTTCCCAAGCGGCAACTTCCCAAGTCTGCCCTATAAAAATGAATTAACTGCCCTATAAAGATGAACTAACTGTTTAGGTGATGCTGATGAATTCTAAATGGAGTGAAAGTCAAGAGAAGAAAATTATCTTGATGGAAAGTCCAGCCTGTGCTGCTGTTTTCGAAGTCTTCCTTAAGTACCTGTATACAGGTACTTATAGTTATATATCCAATTAGCTGAATTGCCCGCTTGTAAAAAAAATGTCAAATTAAAAAAAACTTTAATCTATATTACCCTTTGGTTCAGCTGTTTAAATAATAATTTTTATATATTTCTATCAATAAATCAAAAGCTTGTGATATATCTAAAAACAAACAAACAACAACTTCTTCATTATTGATTTCTTACTAATAAAATTGTATATTTGAATTATTGTTTGTTGAATATTTTAGTTCATGCCTAATATTCGGACACGGCGTGACGTGAGAATCTGCCCGGGCCAAAGATTTTTCCAGGGCTACTGTATTTCAGCCTGAAATACCAATTTTATTAAAATATTTTGATAGAATCCTCTAAATAGTATGCTATTACGAATTATCATCACATGAATTTTACATATCTAAGTTTTTTTTTTAAATTCTTAGAGAGGAAGATGACAACAGTCGAACCGGATTATTGTTTCTCACTTTTTTCTTGTATAAATTAAATTAATTAAAAACTTATTTAATGACAAAGCTTACCCACGGCAAGTGTTTAAATTGCTTTCATAATTTAATAATGTTAAGGAAAGTGTCCAAACTATTAAAAAAGGCCAAAATGAAGTCGCCAGGACATTATCTCATGCCAGGGCTGATTCTCGCGTCTTACCGGTCTTTGCCCTTCCATTACCAATTAATTTAATTGATTTCTTATCATGTTTCTCCCCGTTTATAGGAAAGATACATGTGAACTATGCCAATGTGATTCCCCTCCTCCAACTGGCGGATAAGTACAATGTGAAAGATCTTCTGAAGGTATTAAAACTTCATTTTACTTTATCGAGATTCTGATGGTTTGATTCATTCCGGATTTTTGATAGAATTGATTGACTGAGTAATTGATAAATGGACTGATGAATTTTTTGATTGATAGATTGATTGATTGATTGATTGATTGATTGATTGATACGCTGGGGTTGAGCTTTATATTCCTGAATTTAATAATTGTTTGATGGATACACTGATGGATTCATTGATTGATAGATTGATGGATTGATTTATTCATAGATTGATTGATTGATGCCTGATAAATTGATGGATTCATGAATTGATTGATGGATTGACTTATTGACTAATTGACTAATTGGCTAGCTGGGATTGAGCTTTATGTCCCGGAATGTGTCCCTGGCAGGGAAGAGGAACCAGGTTGTATCCTGGTATCAGTTTACTACTAACTGTGGATACAGGTATTCTTTAAATGTAGTTATACTTGCCTAGCTACTTAGTTCAGCTACTATTCGCTATGCAATATTTACGATTATAAGGGGTGGACAATTATAAGTCTACCTTGTGTAACTACTTTTTAACAAATTTTACTGTTGTATTTTAAATTATTCTTTTTTTCATTTAAGCCATATAAAATCAAATTATATTAAACGTCAGAAGTTCAGAGAGTAAATTATCAGTAATTGTAGATTGTGAGACCGACTGAAAATAGTTTCGACTAGTTCCGTCTCCCTGTCATTAACTGTTATCATCTGCTGTAATTATAAATATCAATTTTTACATGTATAATTTATGGCTAAATATATAGTTTGATTTGAGGAGCGTGGGCGCCAACTTTACTGAATGACGCATTGTCTTTTAATTATAATAATAATAATCCTAAAAATTACTTATTCAGTCATGTGTCCTCTCTTTGTCTGGATTTTCTGAAGTGGAATTATGAACTCGTGTCAAACAGTATAGACTGGCCAAATATAGGTAATATTTAAGTAAATTAAAAGAGAAAATTTTGTGTGTAAGGGAGGAGAAGGGTTGATAAACTTACTTGTTTCTTCTTACTTCTGTGGTGATTCTCAGCAATCCCAGTGGGCACTTTATGAGAATTTCTGCTAGGCAATAAACTGTTGATCAGGACTTCTGCTAGGCAGGATTTAGATAGCATCAACAGTTCTTGTGCATAGATAATCAATAATAATCATATCGTAATTTGAACATATTGATTAAGGTTGAACTTTTGATATGAACTGGTTGTTTGTTCCATACATCTGGTACTCTGATACTAAAGAAATTCCGCGTCTCAAATCACCCAAAAACCGGTTTCAATTGAGAGTCGGCTTAAATCTTGAAAAACTTCATACAATTTTAAGTGGAACCAACCATATTTGAGCCGCAGTTTAAATTTATGCCGCCGCTCAAATACTTTAAATTCGGCCTCAGGTTGATTTGTCTGAACTAGGTAGATGAGTCAACTTTGTCAAACCCATTTAGGATTTTGTTAGTTGTGATCTTGTCAGTTTTATTCTGCGATCCTTTAAAGCGAGTAGCTTGAGCTCTTGAAGTCGATCCTTGTAATCTTGGCTTCTCAGCCCAGAAACCAAGCGTACAGCTCTGTTCGAGACAAATTATGTCTATTTGGGTCAAGGGGGACCATGCTGGAGAACAAAATTTTTAGGTGAGTTCTAACATGTTGCTTGTAGAGGTTTATAAATACATGTTGGTCCCTGTAGTGGAATCATTCCCAGAACAGCATTGGCCTTCCTGGCTGCTTCTGAGCATTGTTTGGAGGGTTTTTAATTATTGTTAATCGTTACACCAATGTCACATTTCGTCCCAGACTCTGAAAGTTTTTCACCGTTCATAAAATACTCTGCTTTTGGATTATTTCGTCCAATTTGTTTTTTACATAGAAGCGCATTCCCCTTCTAGAGGCCCAACTACAAATTAGGTAAAGGCATTCTTGGAGATTGTCTCTGTCTTTATCATTGATAATTGTTTGACCTAACTTTGTGTTATCAGCAAATTTTTTGATCAGCTTGATCAAGGTAGCAGCACCATCTATATCATCAATGATTGTTAAGAAGGCTAGTGGGCCTTGAACACTACATTGAAGAATATCAGAATCAACATTTATCAGATGAGAGGATTCTACATTTAGTCACACATTGTTATCGACCAGTGAGCCACTTCTTGAACCAAGCTGAAAGCTACCCTTCTATTCAATAAGCTTTCATTTTAGCAAGAAGAATCAAGTTTTGATGTGTTGAGGGGGCAAAAATGAATAATTTGGACATTTATTTATTTTTCCCTAAAAATCATTCAGCGAAGAAAATCCCCCAAAAGCGTGCCCAACTTCTGGGGAAAAATGTTATCAAAGAGGGGCGGAGGAATGGTTAAACATAGAAAGGAATAAAATAAACAAAAGAAGAAGTAATGTGAACAAAGAGGAAGAAGGAAAAGCAAAAATTAAAATGAGAAAAAATACCAAACAAAGAACAAGGGGGAAAAAACATTTTTAACTGATGTTCATTTTCAGAGGGAGAAAGTTTAGTCCGATTATTGTCCTGCAGTGATATAGTGGTTCATGATGAAATTATTATTTTTAACAGTGTTCAGGTAAAAACTAATTTTTACAGTGTACAGTAAAATACTAATTTTAACAATGTACATTTAATTAGTAATTTTGACAGTGTACACTTATTGACAATTTTAACATGGAGTATGGAATGTAAGGGAGAATGAATCGACCAGCCCGCCCTACCATCTGATTATACATGCCTTGCAGACGGTACTTCATTTGAATAAGAAATATTTGTCTAAACCATATGGTAAGGCAGGGTGGTTAGATTCCTTCTCCCTTATATTCAATACTCCATGGTGACAATGTGTAAAGCTATTGTAAAACCATTTTTAATTGAACTTTTTTAAAAGCTACTAATTTTATTAGTTTAAAGTAAATGTTTACAGTATTTTTATTACTGTTCTGGAAAGTCCTATTTTAACAGTTAACATGTACATTCTATTTAAAACACCGTGCATTGCACACTATTCACTGTACAGGTTAAACTTTTCATTTTACGAGGTGCTTGATAAACTGGTTGATTAGATGGTTTATCATTTGGTTGATTAGATGGTTTATTATTTGATTGATCAATTGGTTGATCATTTGATTGATCAATTGGTTGATCAATTGGTTGATTAGTTGGTTGATTAGTTGAATGATCGAAGGTTGATAACTGATCAGCTGAATGATCTTATGTTTGAGTAGAGTTGGCTAGAGGAGCAGGGTAAGAGGATGGAGAAGGATGGAGAATATTCACATTTTTAAACCATTTTTTTTAAACTGGTATAAGACATAATTTAACCATACAGGGTAACCCACAAAGGATGAGACTTCGGTGACGACTCAGCGGAGTTTATTGAGTCTTAAAGTGACTGTAAAGGAAAAATGAAAGTGGGTAAAGGCTCTTTAGCACGACCCATGAAAGTTATACCTCATGTTCCTGTCTCGAGAAATTGATATAAAACTGTGTCAAATTCATACTTAAATTCATTTATATACAATTTTATATAGAAATTGTATGTTTAATCAGATCATATTCAGCCAATAAACAACCAATCCAGAGAAACTTAACTGTAACTTGTTTTCTCCAATTATTATTTCCTAATTTTTATTCTTTTTTTTTTTAACATACATGATTGATAATGTTAGTTTTAAGTCCAAATTACGTTACAAGAACTCCCACCAATGAGATTGCACTATACTGGTCACCTGATACAGACAGAGACACGTGACCTCTATACTGCACTACCATTGGTGGGAGTTCTGACCTGAGCTGAAAACTTTAGAATGGTGGATATCAGGATTAAGGAGAGTTTGTTAATATCCAGTTTAAATATTGCTTGTTCTCCACATGAATTTAAACTCCAGAGAAGCTAATCCATCGGATATCTGGATATTTCATTCTAAAGTTTTCAGCTCTGAAAACTTTAGAATGGTGGATATCGAGAGTAACGCCTAAACTCCTGGTTTTACTAAACCCAAGATTATGTTAATACACATTCGATATCCAAGAAAGAAGTTTAAAATTCAACCAATCAGCGTGTCAAGTTTAGATGCGTTCTTCAACTTTTGAAAAACCGGTTTTTAGTTTGGCATTTCTGGTGTTAATGGTGTCATATCAATTGAACTATAATGATTGATTGAACGAACGTAAGTTTTGGATTAATGTTTATAAAGACTAATGTTCAAAATGACTATAGTCCTCAAATGAGATAAAATTTGTTTTTTTATTAAATTCATATTAACATGATTAAATTTATATTTATTTAAATGCTCTAAAAGCCCGCTTGTGAACAGCTGACTTCAGATGAATCGGATATTAGTCCAATCGATATAGTATCATATCTGTAATTGTTATCAAAAGTAACTTTTATGCAGTTGGGTCATCCAAAAAGAGAGTAATAAGAAGAAAATCAAGTGTGTCCATTGGATACTCAGATTAAGTAATCGGGATTAAGGATATCTCATTCTAAAGTTTTCATGTTTGGTGATGTAGTACAGTCCCTTTTACATTTTCCCTTTACAGTCCCTTTAAGTCACTAATAAATGTTCCCTGCAGATGTAGACTAATTATTTATTTTGCCAAAATATTGAATATACCATTAACAAACTATCTTTAAAGCAAATAGCCAAGTCGTAGACCTAATATAGTTCAACCTATGGATTCTTATATACCAAAAAATCTAATTTTAAAATATAAAAGGTTTTCACTCAGGAATGATGTACATTGTACAGTCATAGAAAGTCGAAAAATAGATTTTGTGGCAAAGTTCAAACTTCATCTCTCTTGATCACCCCCCCCCCCTTGCAATATGTTTTCATTTAAATGGGAGGGGAGATGATTTGAAAGAAAATATATCCCTGAGAAATTGTAAAATATGCCTGATATTTAGGAGTCGTGAAGGTGCGATAAAAAACATTTTGAAACTAAGCGGAGGAGATAGGTAGGGAATGGTAGTTATTGTGAGATATATTTTTACTTGACCATCTTATTTATTGAAGAATTTATGTGTTTTTTTAATGTTTCATTGGCTGAAAGGTAGAAAGTAAATATTGTTGAGAAGAAAGTTAATTTTTTGGTAAAAAGTTTCAGACACTACTGTTTTGATAAATTTGAGAACTCGAGGATTTGTGCTCTTGGATAATGAAAAATCAGACATCAACTGGCTCGTTTTTCCCCTCTTATTATAATTTCCCAACTAAAATAATTTGTTCCACTAAATCCTGATCTGTTATTTAATCCTAATCTGGTATTTAATCATAATCTGTTATTTAATCCTTATCTGTTCTTAAATCTTAATTTGTTATATGATCCTAATCTGTTATTAAATTCTAATCTGTTATTCAACTCTAATCTGTTATTTAATCCTATCTGGTATTTAATCCTAATCTGTTATTTAATCATAATTTTGTTATTTAATCATAATCTGTTATTTAATCATAATCTGTTTTTTAACCCTAATCTATTATTTAGCCCTAATATTTTATTTAATCCTTATCTGTTGTTTAACTCTAATCTGTTATTTAATTCTTTTTGGTATTTAATCCTAAGCTGGTATTAAATCTTTATCTGTTATTTAATCCTAATCTGGTATTTAATCCCTATGTATTATTTAATCCTAATCTGTCATATAATCCCTATGTATTATTTAATTCTAATCTGTAATTTAACCCTAATCTGTTATTTAATCCTAATCTGTTGTTTCATCCTAATCCGTTATTTAATACTAATCTGTTATTTAATCCTAATTGGATATTTAATCTGTATGTATTGTTAAGGTTGCTGACTCCCCGGCTTTATACAGAGGATAAATACTGTGCCAGTCTTTCAGTTGATTACTTTCCTCAACTTCCTATGTATCATTGCAGGTAGTTCATGAAGTAACTTTATACCCCTCCCCCTCCCTAGTTTTTTCACTAGAATACTTTCCTCAACTTTCCATGTATCATTGCAGGGGGGGGGTTAACTTTAACCACCCCCCCCCTCTCCTCCTCCATTCTTAATTCCAGGTTTTATAGTGGGTCAACCTCCCCCATCATTATTTCAAGAATTAGGGACATTTAGTTGATTTAAACCAAGTGCAATGAATTTTTAACAAGTACAGTGAATTAAAACCCAGTGCAATGAATTTAAACCAAGTGTAGTGAATTTAAACCAAGTGTAGTGAATTTAAACCAAGTGTAGTGAATTTAAACCAAGTGTAGTGAATTTAAGCCAAGTGCAGTGAATTCAAACCAAGTACAATGAATTTAAACCGAGTACAATGAATTTAAACCAAGTACAAAGAATTTAAACCAATGTAGTGAATTTAAACCAAATGTAATGAATTTAAACCAAGTGTAGTGAATTTAAACCAAGTGCAATGAATTTAAACCAAGTGCAATGAATTTAAACCAAGTGCAATGAATTTAAACCAAGTACAGTGAATTTAAACCATGTGCAATGAACTTAAACCAAGTGTAGTGAATTTAAACCAAGTGCAGTGAATTCAAGCCAAGTGCAATGAATTTAAACCGAGTACAATGAAGATAAACCAATTGTAGTGAATTTAAATCATGTGCAATGAATTCAAACCAAGTGCAATGAATTTAAACCAAGTGCAATGAATTTAAACTAAGTGCAGTGAATGATTTTTTATGGAAAAAAATTAGAAGAAATACTTTTCTTAAATTAAAATATTACAAGGCTTTAAAAGGGTGCATCGCGACCCTTATTTAGTAACAATTCTAACTTTAACTGTTACCTTTCAAGTAGAATCCGGTTTCCATGCGAATTGCGCAAAAACGTTTTATATAATTTCAGGAAAGTTTGGCAAAATTTTGTTAAAATATTGGTTTTGATATTAATAAAATTATGTTAATTATTATTAGTATCATTATTATCAACAAACTAGCCTTTGAGATAACGCAGGGTAAATGTTTACGGAGTTATACGCTACATTTGTATTATTCTTCTGATATCCATTACACCAGAGGCATTGGCGAAAATTTTGTTGTCTTCTGATGCGAATCTTTGTTTTGGGTTGCAACAGAATAAACTTTGAATTTGCACAGATAAGTTTTGCGCTATTTTTGCGATCGCGAATAGAAATCTTAATTTCAAGTCGACATTGTTCATTGTACTCTGCAATAAACCAAACAAATTCGGCATAAAAAAATAACAAAAACAAAAGTTCAAACCTTCATTGTAAATATGCAGAACTCCAAATTCATTATTTTACAGGAATGTTCCACCCACCAGGAACTGGATCCGCATGAAAATAAATGGATGACAAGCATTATTATTCTTTTGATTTAGATCCTTGCATTTCTCGGCTTTTGAATCCACGGCTTTCTATGCAGGAGAAAATCAGGTGATTTGGGGAGATACAATTTTAAATCATTTAAAGACTCGGTTAAATCCAAAAAGTTAATTTCATTCTTTATTCATTGGAGGATAAATTTTTTAAATTACGAGCGTATTGAATTGTTAATCTCCATGCGAGGAATAAATAGGATAAACTTATTTTGTCTATTTAAAAGTTTTTAACTGAACTTCTAATAATTGACTAAATAGTTGATATGATATCTTGGTTGATTGGATTATTAATGTTTATCTATCTACTAATCAGGTGGATTGTATGGTTGATATTTACTAGCGGGGCAATGAAGGAGGTTCCTGATAGAGTTCTCAGGTATCAATTCATTCGTTCAAAATAGATAAATGTATGGCATTTTTTAATTAATTTAATTTTTTATACATTTTCATACATTTTTATACAGTGAGAACCAGAAAACCATGGAATAGACTACTTTTAGCTGAAGTTATGACCTCTAATAGTCCAATGAACATGAGACACAGCATTTGTTTAGACAGTTTTATTTAACATAAAAAGTGAATTGATAAGTTGCTATTAAAACTGTTTGCTTTCTAACTACATCAAATACACTTTAATATTGCTTTAATATAATTACACATTCCACAGTATTCTGGTTCTCACTTTCTTTGCCATGCAAAAAATTTCAGAAATTAAAGACGGTCTTTTAATTCCCATGTTAATGGGACACCCTGTACTACTAGCTGAAGTGCTCTGCGTTGCCCGTTATTTTTTTTAAAAATAGAATTTAAAAAAAAATCTATTTTACCCACAGGGTACCCAACCCATGGGTTCCCTAAAAAAAAATAACAAATATATATATGGGCGAAGTATAATATATAAAATATAAAAATGTATTTTTCTAAATTATGTTTTCAGGACGGTTCGAGTGAGTATATCTACTCGGGAGAAGTTCGATGAGAAGAGAGTTAAGATCGGTATTCTCGTGGTAGGAGACCAGGACGGATTCGAACATATTCGTCATGTCCGGACTAAAAACTATATTTTCGGCGAGGATGATCAAATCGTCAATTTTGACGATTTGTTGTGTTTTGACGCGTTGAACGACATGAAAACACGGAGTAGATTTTTGTCTGGAGAAAGTCGTGAGAGTTTAAAGATCCTTGTAACAATTACTCCGTTGCATAGAGCTGGGTCTTTATCTATTCCTTGAACATGGAAGAGTAAGTTCTTCCATTGTACACTGTACACTGTACATTGTTCAGTGTTCAGTGTACAGTGTGAAGTGTACAGTGTAAAGTGTACAGTGTACAGTGTAAAGTGTTCAGTGTTCACTATTCAGTGTACACTGTACAGTGTACAGTGTTCAGTTTACAGTGAAAAGTGTACAGTGTAAAGTGTACAGTATACAATGTACAGAATGCAGTGTGAAAAGTACAGTGTACAGTTTAAATGTGTGTATAGTGGACAGTGTACAGCATCAAGAGTACTTAACTGTTACTTTATAGTAAACTTAAAAGATCATGAACTTAAGTTTAGTAGCGCTCACTCTTTGATGCTTGTACTGTGTACTGAATGCCGTGTTTATGATATTTTACGTAATATAGTGTACAGTGTACAGTGTCTAAGTTCAGATAAATGTCCATTTGGGGGTGATTATTTATTTCTCACAGTACAGTACAGTACAGTACAGTACAGTACAGTACAGTACTGTATTTTACAATTTTGAAGACTTGGTGTAGATGTAAAGGTATTTTTTTGACGCAAAAGACTTTTCTAACCTGCATAAATGTCATTTGGATGGTAACATACATTTTCTAGTGAACTATTAATTTCATTAATCGCCTTTTTATGAACTTAGTTTGCAAAGTTAAATTTTACTATTTGGCATATATAATATATATTGGAAATATGCAGTTTTTAACCAAATTTAAAATTTTTAAATTTTAAATTTTTAAAATTTTTCCAGTCTTCAAATCGTTCAGGAGTCGCTGCCGGCAAATTTAGCACAAAAAGAATAAAAAAGTATTAGGAAAACCTGAAAATTAACTAATATTCATAAATTTTTATTCTAATTGTAAAATGTAAAATGTAAAATAACTACAAACATTTTGCACATTTTTAAGTGTATACGTCTAGCTGTGAGATTTACGTTGCCAATTCGACACATTAATATAGGTGTCTCATGAAAAATGACAGCTAACAGGCGGCTGAAGGATCGTCTTCGATTTTTCTAATTATTTGTGGCATTTGTTCGTCAACCTTCTTGTGATACTGGAATTTGGAAAGCACTGAAAAGGCAGACCACATGTTGGAAATTCCATGTCTTTGGATATTTTGGGATTATTAAATCAAGAATTTTATTTTTAAATGAGGTTGACGAATAAATGCTGCATTTTTGTACCATCATAGACGATCTTCAGGTTGTCTTTCAATTGTCAAATTTCATGGAACACCCATCAGATGAAACCTAGCATTTTGTTGGTTAAATTAAATTTTCCGAAAGCATTTCGAAATAATAATTATTTTGTTCGAAATTACGATAATTTTGTTCAAAATTACAAAAAATTTTTTCGAAATTACAAAAATTTTGTTCGAAATTATAATAATTTTGTTCGAAATTAAAATAATTTTGTTCGAAATTAAAATAATTTTGTTCGAAATTACGATCATTTTGTTCAAAATTACAATAATTTTGTTCGAACTAACGATTATTTTGTTCGAAATAACGATTATTTTGTTCGAAATTAGAATAATTTTGTTCGAAATAACAATCATTTTGTTCGAAATTACAATAATTTTGTTCGAAATTACGTTAATTTTGTTTGAAATTACAGTTATCTTGTTCGAAAATGCAATAGTTTTGTTCGAAATAACGATTATTTTGTTCGAAATTACAATAATTTTGTTCGAAATTACGATCATTTTGTTCGAAATTAAATATTTTAGTTTGAAATTACAATAATTTTGTACTAAATTATAATAATTTTGTTCGAAATTACGAAAATTTTGTCCAAAATTACAATAATTTAGTTCGAAATTAAAATAAGTTTGTTCGAAATTACGATCATTTTGTTCGAAATTACTAATATTTAATTCATATTGAAATGCTTTCGTAAGTTCAACATTTCAAATAAAGTATTAGGGTTTCATGGAGCAGTTCAGTTTAGGCCAAAATATGATAGTTTAATGTTTACTATATTTACCAGTGCAGATTTTCTTCATAATTGTTGTTAATCATTTTGTTTTTAGATTAAGCTTTTGTTGTAACGTAAATTCAAGGTTGAAATATAAATTCAGAAATTATCTTTTATTTAGATGGTTTTGTAAGCAGATTTTAAATAAGGGCAATCAGTTAATTAAAACGTTTAATTAATATTCGTATATTTCAAAGAAATATCCCCTGTAAGGCCCCCACTAATCAGGAGCTAAAGAAATCTGCATATATCACTGAATAAACCAAGATTACGAGTTCTATTCTTCTTCATGGTGTAGTAAAATGAGATAAGTTAATTTTATGATATTCACATTCTAGATAGGGGGGGAGGGGGGGGGGCTGTTAGATAAGCAGGGTGAGGGCTACTACAGGGTTTTCCATAAAGGATGAGACTGTAGAGACAACCTGAAAATTACATTTCTAAGGTTCATATTTTTTCATATTTATATTCAACTAAAAAGCATGAGATAATACTAATAAAAAAATCACATTTTACTATGTAGTTTGGACCCGCCTAACCAGATAGGTTGTTTTAATTGGTTGACCTACTATAAACGAATGAGAATTGCAGATAAAAACAATGTACATTGTACATTTTAAACATAAGATTGATGATAACTCGGGAAAAAGGTAAGGAGGAGGTGAGGGAGTATAAGGGAAAGGGAGGATACTCAGCGTAAGGGTTGGAACAGAGGGTAACCTAAGTTACTAAAATCATGTTTATGAATTACAGGGTGAAGAAGATAGTAAAGACTAAGTTTATCCACATGATACACAGTTTTTTTTACAGATATAATTTGCATAACTATCTAAATAGATCTTGGCGACTTTTCTTTTAAACGATTTTGCAGTTTTAGTTTCTTTCAGCTCTAATTCAATCGAATTCCATATTTTTGGAAATAAAGCAGAGGGAAAACATTCTAGAGTTTTAAAGAGAACTCGTTCAATTTTATATGGTTTTGTTTTATTTGGTTCAGCTAAAGAATTAAACATATCATGGAAGGAAGCTGGAAGGTTTTCATAAAAGTATTAATGCATAAAAGATAGAACACCTAGTTTATATGTATCATCAAAATTTAGGAGTTCTAATCTGAAAAATATTGGATCTGAATGTGCCTTAAATGAACTATTATTTACTGCTCTAATTGCCCTTTTTTGCAAAGACTTGATTTTCTGTAGTTTAGCATTTTTTACACCCCCCCATGTTATAATTCCATACTCAATATGTGGCCTTACAAGTGCATTATAGACTAGTAGACGAATGTTTAACGGTAAAATGTTTTTAATCTGATTCAGAGCAAAAATTGAGCTAGCAATCTTATTGGAAACATGTTCAATTTGATAGTCCCAATTTAAAAATTCATCAATTTTGAGTCCAACAAATTTGAAATATTTATTTGTACAGTTAGTTCCTATTCTTTCTAGTATCTCATTTCCAATTTTTAATTTGCAGTTCTCAGGATTAAAATGCATATTTTTATTCCTAAATATCATAAACTTTGTTTTGGAAACATTTAGTGTTAAACGGTTTGCCTGAAACCATGTAGCTGCCTTTTTTAGTTCAAAGTTCGCATCAATTACTAAAGTTTCGATATGTGGAGATGATTTTAGAAAACTAGTGTCATCAGCAAATAGATTAGTAAAAAAAGACGTTGCTAAAGGCAAATCGTTTATGTATATGAGAAAAAGTAGGGGCCCAAGAACACTTCCCTGAGGAACACCACATAAAATTGTTTTTTCTTTAGAAAAAATACCATTTATACAAACATATTGAGTCCTATTTACTAAATAGTTTTGAAACCATGTGTTAGCTACATTTTTAAAACCGTAATACTCTAGTTTTTTTAAAAGAATATCTAAGTTGCAACAGTCAAAAGCTTTCTTAAGATCTAAAAAAATTCCCAGTGTAAATTCTGGTTGGGGTTTATTAAGATTTTCGTAAATTTTATTCATTAGGTGTAGTAAAGGTTGATTAGTATTATGTTGTGGTCTAAATCCATATTGATGTTGATAGAAAATCTCAAACTTGTTAAGATATTTAAACATTTGAGTCGCAGCTATTTTTTCAAGAAGTTTACTTAGCGCTGGTAGAATACTAATTGGTCTGTAGTTATTAAATTTATCTTTTTGTTCAGTTTTAAAGATAGGAATTATTTTTGCACATTTATAATCACTAGGGATATATCCTGTTTTAAAAGAAAGGTTAAACAAATGCGCTATAGGATAGACAATACTTTCAATTATTTCCTTCAGTAGCTTGGTAGAAATATTGTCCTTACCTGAACTGTTTTTAGGTTTAAGTTTACTCACTGTTTCAAGAATAATTTCTGGTGTAATATTTGCAAACACAAAATTTTCCTTGGATGGCTCCTTCAGATATGTTTCAAAATTAACATTAGAATCCGGAATATAACTAGACAATCTGGGTCCAATGTTCACAAAAAAGTCATTAAAACCCTCTGCTATTTCAGCAGATCCCACAAAACTTTTTTCATCATCAGTGAAAATTTCAGGAACTGAATGACTTTTTTTCTTAGAAGATATAATAGAGTTTAGTAAAGACCAGGTCTTTTTGATGTCTTTTGAGTATTCTGTAAATTTTGAAGAAAAATAACTAGTCTTGGCCATTTTTAATGTTGTGCGATAAGTTAAGAATTCTTTTTGTGGGCTTTTAATGATTGGGCAAAGAAACAAATTTACAGTTGAAGAAAATAAATAAAAGTATATGTACAGCGTTAATCCCAAGGTTGTATAATAAGGTTCTTTACTCTCGATGTGCTCCAATATGAGCAGGGTGGTGACTGCTAGAAAGGCAGGGTGAAGACTACTAGAAAGGCAGGGTAGGTACTACTAGAAAGGCAGGGTAGGGACTGCTAGAAAGGCAGGGTAGGGACTACTAGAAAGGCAGGGTAGGGGACTACTAGAAAGCCAGGGTAGGGACTACTAGAAAGGCAGGGTGGTAGGCAGGGTATGGACTACTAGAAAGGCAGGGTAGGGACTACTAGAAAGGCAGGGTAGGGACTACTAGAAAGGCAGGGTGGGGACTATTATAGAAAAGCAGAGTGAAGATTGAACTATTACCATTTTTCATTATTTGTAAGTAGAAAAGTCAGGAAATTACGGTTAAGTGATAAATGTCCACAAAAGACGACTAGCTTATGATTTATGATTTGAAAGTAGCATTTACCAGTTTTCTTTGTTAAACAATCACAAAATTAGAGATGGGTTACGTTCCATTGCAAAAGGCATGTTATTAAAAATTAACTAGCGATGGTGTTACAAACGGCAAAAACCGTTGATCTTGAAACGAAAATAACCGCTAATAAAACAAGATCAAACGAATGGGGTTTGAAATAACAGTGACAATATTTCTGCTCAAATGCAATGAACTTGTTTTACAAGTTTTATGCTTTTGATTGTTGTCTTACAATTTCCTCCGCTTTTTCTACATAAAATAATCCTTAACAAAAGGACTGGCAATGTTGAAAGTTTCTGAAATATCCACTGTTAACGTCGTTAATAAGATACAGAAAAAAACGAACAGATATCTGAAAAATTGTCGTTTTGAACGATTTTAGCCAACCTTTCACGAACGATCTTGAAAAAAGTCTGAAAATTCGTCAAAATAAATTAAAATATGCGTCTTCTTTCAGAAATGTTAAATTTTTGAAGATCCCTTGAAAATTATGCAACTAATTAGCAATAAAACGTAGTTTAAAGATATTTGTCAGAGTATCAAAAAAACAAGTTCTCAAGCCGTTAGCAGAACAGTTTCTGTACAGTCATAACCAGAAAACTGTGGAATAGGAAGACGACATTGTAGCATTTCTAAAGTGCATTTGAAAGCTAATAAATTACTTATTAAGTAAAATGGGTCTATATTTACATTGCACAATTTCTGTGCCCCATGTTCAATGCGAAATTAAAAGTCATATCTTGAGTTTAAAAGTCGACTTCCTATTCCAAAGTTTTCTAGTTATCACTGTAATATCTTTCGATACCCAATTACCCATATCCTTGTGTTTTGAAAAATCTACCTTCCCCTAGGTTTTTTAAATTCATTTATTACTGAATGAGTTCTGATTTTTTCAATTTTTTCTGTTATAAATGTTTCTTATAATTTACTACTAATTATAATTGTTTGATGTTGCAAAAAGTTTGTCATTTTCAATGAAATAGTAATAAAGATACAAAGTGTTGCTTCGAAAACCTAACATACAACGTTACATGCAAAAGATGAAACTTCAGTGACTTCTGTTTTAAATGCTAGTTAAATGTTAGTTCCCTGCACAGTGTACAGTGTACAGTGTACACTGTACTCTGTACACTGTACAACTGGATATCTTTTAATGGCAATATAGTTTAGTAATTCTTTTTTAAGGCATGAGAGACCAAATTCAACCTTCAAAATAGATATTTTATGAGTTTGAGGTCGCCTTTTACAGCTTATCCTTTGTGGGTAACCCTGCTAATTCAAATTGCACAAAAAAGAAACTGATATATTAGCGCTTAAATAGAAAAACAATTGCATTTCTGGAAAGCTTTTAAAAAATAATATTAAATATCGTTTATATCTATCTGATGCCTGTATATGTGAAAAGAATTCCATTTTTTTACACTTGTCTGGAATCTGTTGACGTACATAGTACAGTGAGACATATAAAACTGTGGACTAGAGGAATACAACATTTAACCAATTTTTATTATATTTGAGGTTGCTATAAAGAATATATAGTTGTATGCTTGAAAATCACATTGCTAGATTTCATGATAGTTTGAACTATTTGAAATCATAACTCAAGTCTAGAAGTCGTCTTTCTATTCCTCATTTTAATTATAATATATTGTTTAAACTGTGTTGTTTTTTAAAACCTTTAAATCTACACTAAACCCCGCAGTTTTTTTTACCAAAGTAGTTTTTCATGACCCCCCCTCCCCTGCACTCCGAGCTTTGACGGAAATCTCGCAAGTTTTATATTCTGTTGCATATCTTGATGATTTCTCTCTTTTCTTATTTCTAAGTTTCTAATCTTAAGAGTTTGTCATTTTCAATGAAATAGTAATAAAGATACAAAGTGTTGCTTCGAAA